CGACCTGGACAAATTGGTCAAAGGTTTGTTTTGCCAATTTCATTTACTGGTAGTCCTAGACATATGTTTGAAATCTTTCAAGATTCAATGGCTATCACGCGATACAACCAACACCCAGATATTTTTCTCACCATGACTGCAAATCCCAATTGGCCAGAAATTACTTCAGCATTATTACCACACCAAAAGCCTATTGATCGTCCGGATTTGATTGCCCGTGTTTTTGAGCTAAAAAGAAAGTGTTTGATGAAGGAGATAGAGACAAACAAAGTGTTCGGTAATAAAGTTGCGCATGTTTTTACAATTGAATTCCAAAAACGAGGCCTACCACATATGCATGCGCTTCTCTTTCTTGAAGGTCCAGACAAAATTCGAACATGTGCTCAAGTAGACAAATTAGTTTGTGCAGAATTTCTAGATCCAAAAGATGATCCTACACTTTTTGAAACTGTCAAGTGTTGCATGGTACATGGACCATGTGGTGCTCGAAATCCCCAAGCACCATGTATGGAAAATGGTAGATGTACTAAGAAATACCCTCGAGCCTTTGCAAAATCAACAACTATGGACCAAGATGGATATCCAATCTATCGTCGTCGCAATAGTGGTCAAGTATATACTGTGAGAGGACAGGAAGTTGATAACAGGGATGTGGTACCATACAATGCATATTTTTCTAAACGGTTCAACTGTCATATAAATGTAGAAGTTTGTTCTGGAGTGAGATGTGTTAAGTATATACATAAGTATATTTACAAGGGTTATGATCGCACAACAATGGTTTTGGGATTGATTAATGAGATCCAACAATATCTTGATGCGAGGTATATTGGACCACCAAAAGCTGCTTGGTGAATATTCGGTCATCATTTGCATGCAGAGATGCCAACAGTTGTTCGCTTGGCACTTCATCTACCTGGAATGCATCGTGTTCTTTTCAATCCTAATGACTCATTGGAAATGATTCTTTCTAGAGCTGCGCAACAAAAATCGACTCTTACTGGTTTTTTTGATTATTGTGCTTCCAATGAAAATGAATGCCAATTCACTTACCAAGAATTTCCGCAACATTTTGTTTGGCTCAAGTCAGAACATAGATGGAAACCCAGAGAACATGGATATGCAATTGGTAGAATGTACTTTGCTAGCCCTAACTGTGGTGAAAGATTTTATCTGCGTTTGTTGTTAACTGTTGTCAAAGGGCCAATATCGTTTCAATGTTTACGTACAGTTAATAATGTTTTGCATGAGACGTTTAAATCAGCATGTGTTGCCAGAGGACTATTAGAAGATGATGAAGAATGGATACAGTGCTTGAAAGAGGCTGCAGTTATGAAAACCGGATATCAATTGAGGAGATTGTTTTGTATTATTCTGACCCAATGTTTTCCACTACAACCACATGCGTTATGGAATCAATTTTCAATGCATATCTGTGATGATCTTGCACATAAGCTTCGTACATTGTTTGCCATTTCTAACCCAACTGAGGCTAAAATTGAAGATTATGGTTTGTATCTTTTGAATCAAATGCTTCAAGAATCAGGAAAGAGTTTAATTGACTTCCCGCCCATGCCACAACCTACAGCAAATTGGAGTGCAACAGTTGGTAACCGATTGATATTCGAACATCAACAACTACATGATGAGGCACAACAGATAGATGTGCAAATTACTATTGATCGCCTCAATAATGGACAACAAACTGCTTATAACGCAATCACCTCTTCAGCTTTTGAAAGTAAAGGGACTATTTTCTTTTTGAATGGCGGTGCTGGAACGGGGAAAACATTTTTGTACAATACGATTGCATTAAAATGTCGCAGCCTTGGCCATATTGTTGTTGCCGTGGCTTCATCTGGAATTGCATCATTGCTATTAGTAGGAGGTCGCACTGCACATTCAACATTTTCCATTCCATTGGATGTCTTGGAAAATTCAGTTTGTGGGTTTAGCAAGCAATCATTACAGGCTGAATTGTTTAGAGAAACAAAACTCATAATTTGGGATGAAGTTCCTATGCAACATAGACATTGTGTTGAGGCGGTTGATCGCACACTTCGAGATATTTGTGATTGTGAAAAGCCATTTGGGGGTATCACTGTTGTTCTTGGTGGAGACTTTCGACAAATCTTACCAATTATAACCAAAGGAGTTCGTGAGCAAACTGTGAATACATCATTGAGACACTCTGTTTTGTGGAAGGATCTACATGTTTTATCTTTAGATTTGAATATGCCCTTGAATCATGCAAACCTTGGAAATGCTATTTTTGCAAAATTCTTGACGGAGGTAATACTCATTCGAACTTTGATTATATCATTTAAGGATACTTTGATTACACAATTTTTTAAAATTTATTTTATTTTATTTATTAGGTTGGAACCAATCCGCAAGAAATTATTAAAATTCCATTAACAATACACAGATGCCAGGATATAAAGAAATTACTCTCAGTAGTTTATCCACAATTGGATGTGGCAGATACATCAACTCCATCATTCTTAACGGAACGTACAATTCTTTCTGCACGAAATGATGATGTCAGTGCTATCAATATTGCTGCGTTGAATATTTTTCCAGGGAATACATATACGTATCTTGCTGCAGATAAGATGGCTGAAGATGATGAAATTGATCCTTCCATTACAAACAGATATCCTAATGAGTTTTTAAATTCATTGGATCCTCCTGGGCTACCAGCTTTTAAGGTAGAGTTGAAAGTGGGTTGTCCTATAATGTTATTAAGAAACATTGCACCGAAAGATGGACTGTGTAATGGCACAAGATTGATGGTATCAAGGTGCGACACTCACATAATTGAAGCTCGAATCTTAACTGGAGAGAAGTTTGGCAATTTGGCATTTATACCAAGGATATCATTGACTCCGTCTTCTGCAGAAATGCCTTTCCGAATGACAAGACGTCAATTTCCAGTTCGATTGGCATACGCTTTGACCATTAACAAATCTCAAGGACAATCTGTGAAATTTGTTGGGGTTGATTTGCGTACACCTGTTTTTAGTCATGGGCAACTATACGTGGCATTATCCAGATGCACATTTTTCGATCGTATAAGTATCCTCCTCCCTAATGATGAGCCAGATTCCACTACAAATATTGTTTACCCTGAAATTTTGTTATGAAGACCTTTCAGAATTGTGGGAAAGAACAAATTTGAAGACATTATCAAACACATATTTTTGTAAAGTATATACATTTTGTAAAGCAGACGATAGCTATGACCCACTTTTTGTAAAGCTTTCCACCTATGTGGACTTTGTTGTATTTCAAATATTTTTGTGAAGCCTTTTATACCCCTATATTTTTGCATTTCCATAATAGCTAAGTTTGATTTAAGAGTGCTGACTTGATCTTTTACAATTGAGTTATTATTTTGGACATGTAAGTTGATTTATTACTTTGGACATGTAAGTTGTCACTACTTTGGACATGTCAGTTGTCACTACTTTGTATATACTTTTTTATTTTTTTTCCTTTTTGTATAAAATTATGTTCTCTTTTATTGTCATAGGATGATGGAGATTTGCACCAAACTGTTATATGGGCTCTCTTTACTCATCTTCTTTTTTCATTGAGAAAATTACAAATCAATGAGTTTTTAAATATTTTGTGAAGTTATCACTTATTTATAATTTTTCTTATTTAATTTACTCTTCTTACTATACATTTTCTTTCAAGTATTGATACTAGCAATACTTGATGGCTATTAGATGACTTTAAAATCTTTTTAATTTGACTATTTTGTAAAGCAACAATTTGTATTCTATAGTTGATGTAGTTGATGATTTTCACATTAATTTGACAAACCATATGAGTTGCAGGAATTATTTTTTTTTACCATTTATTGTTGGGATGCTATGGCATAGAGTTGATTTCTTCTTCATGATATGATGTATTTAGTTTTTCAATGCTTTCCGTATCTTGATTGGAAAATTATTTCAAAATATTTGATTTCCGTATCTTAATGTGAAAATAATTTCTAAAGACTACTATTTGCGAGGTTATGGTATTTATGTTCTGTGTATTATATAGATTTCAATCAGATATTTGTGGCTTGGGGTACTATGACACTCACCAATGTATTAGGTGTTAGCCACAAACTAATGGTAGGAGTGCTGACTTGAACTTTTATCAGGTGCTACAGACTCTACAATTTTAATATGATACGTACAAATTATAACTACATTTTAATCTCAATATTATTTACACCGTACCTTTAGGTACGGACATACACTAGTACATCCATAAGGTTGGTTAATAATAAAATTGTGTTGTTATAAAACGACACCAAGCATTTCTGTTGCCAGGGAAAAATCTGCTGCTTATAGAGCATTCAGTGAGGCGATACAAAAAGCACGTACAACACAGTAAAGAAAGAAGTTAGTCTGGAAACAGCCATTCCAGCACTGGCAATATATAGCTTTTCGAATTTCAAATTTCAAAATTTTAAAATTATTTCTAATCTAGCTGGATCCAACTCCTCTCGTAAATTTTGAATTTGTTTTTTAAAAACGGTATACCCTAAAATATCGCCGTCCCAATCGGCACCCCTATAAACCCCACCTCTCTTCACCCGCTTCTCCTCCATCCCTGATCTTCTCTCTCTCTTGCCCAGGCGTCTTTGTATACGTCTCGGCATTTTCTCTCCATCCTCTCTCTCTCTCTCGCGCTCTACATTACCAGTAAATAGTTTCAACAACCCACCACACCCATCGAAAATGAGAGAGTGCATTTCGATCCACATCGGCCAAGCCGGTATCCAGGTCGGAAACGCCTGCTGGGAGCTTTACTGTCTCGAACATGGTATCCAGGTAATTCTCTCTCCGATCTCTCTTCCACAAGCCCTAATTTTTGTTTTTCTTTCAAATTTGATCATGTTATTGTTAGATCTGTGAGATCTGTGTGATTTACATTCTGGGTTTTGGTTGATTTGGCAGCCTGATGGCCAAATGCCCAGCGACAAGACCGTCGGTGGTGGTGACGATGCCTTCAACACCTTCTTCAGTGAAACCGGCGCCGGAAAGCACGTCCCTCGCGCTGTGTTCGTAGATCTGGAACCCACTGTCATCGACGAGGTCCGAACCGGAACCTACCGCCAATTGTTCCACCCTGAGCAACTCATCAGCGGCAAGGAAGACGCCGCTAACAACTTTGCCAGAGGCCATTATACCAGTAAGCAAAAACAAAACAAAACAAAACAAAACCCAGATCTTCATTTCATTGTTTCTTCAATTGTTTTTAATGGGTTTTGTGTTGATTTTTGTCTACAGTTGGGAAAGAGATTGTGGATCTGTGCCTGGATCGTATCAGGAAGCTTGCTGATAACTGCACTGGGCTTCAAGGGTTCTTGGTGTTCCATGCTGTTGGTGGTGGGACTGGATCTGGCCTTGGATCTCTGCTTCTTGAAAGGCTTTCTGTTGATTACGGAAAGAAATCGAAGCTTGGATTCACTGTTTACCCATCTCCCCAGATCTCAACCTCTGTTGTTGAACCCTATAACAGTGTCTTGTCCACTCACTCTTTGCTTGAGCACACTGATGTTGCTGTACTCCTCGACAATGAGGCCATCTATGACATTTGCCGCAGATCTCTCGATATTGAGCGACCCACCTACACCAATCTCAACAGGCTCGTCTCTCAGGTATTAGAATCGTTAACTTTTTAATTATAGGTTGTTTATATCGAATAGATCGAATGGATCTCTGATTTTGTGTTTGTGTGCAGGTGATTTCATCGCTGACTGCTTCTCTTCGTTTCGATGGAGCTCTGAATGTGGATGTGAACGAGTTCCAGACCAATTTGGTCCCATACCCAAGAATTCATTTCATGCTTTCTTCATATGCCCCTGTTATCTCTGCAGAAAAGGCCTACCACGAGCAACTCTCGGTTGCAGAGATCACCAACAGTGCATTCGAACCGTCTTCTATGATGGTGAAATGCGATCCTCGCCATGGGAAGTACATGGCTTGCTGTTTGATGTACAGAGGTGATGTGGTGCCCAAGGATGTCAACGCTGCTGTGGCCACAATCAAGACCAAGAGGACCATCCAGTTTGTGGACTGGTGCCCAACCGGGTTCAAATGTGGTATCAACTACCAGCCACCCACTGTGGTTCCTGGTGGTGATCTTGCTAAGGTTCAGAGAGCAGTTTGCATGATCTCCAACTCCACAAGTGTTGCTGAGGTGTTCTCGAGGATTGATCATAAGTTTGATCTGATGTATGCGAAGAGGGCTTTTGTGCACTGGTATGTGGGTGAGGGTATGGAGGAAGGAGAGTTCTCTGAGGCTAGGGAGGATTTGGCTGCTCTGGAGAAGGATTATGAGGAAGTTGGGGCTGAGTCTGCTGAAGGAGAAGATGAAGAGGAAGGAGAGTACTAGGCTTATTGCTTGTTTGAATTGAAACCAATGGACTCAATTGGTTTACAATTTGGATTGCAATTTGCCTTTTTAGATTTGTGTTTTTGGTGGTTTGTGTCTGTGTTCTGTTTTTTGAATAATCTGTGTTTGTTTGGTGTTCTGAACTAATGATGATGGTTATGATATTTCTATGGTTGTTTGTTGAATGAAAATTTCTGTGGAAGTTCTGTTGAAATAGTATATTGCTGCTTTTCTTGTTGAATTTAAAGTTGCTGTTTAAAAATTGCAAGATACAAACATTTTGAATGAAGCATAGCGTTGGTGCAATTTTGCAGAGATCCAATGGTTTGGGGAAACAACACTATACTTTTGCAGCTTGTGTTTATATTAGAATTTTAACTCTGTTGCACCCACATTATCAAATTTATATAAACAATCATTTGTACTAACAAGTCATGTTCTGATTGGGAGCAATAATATGGGATGATGCTGCTCTAATAACAGGCAGCTCCTAATTTGGTAGCGGGATCAAAATCCATGAATTTTAGGGGTGGTTTGGGGTAACATATTTTAGTCTATCTGTTTATTTTTTTTTTGTTCATATCAATTAATACCTTCTCTTTATTTTTTTATATATTTTTTTATAAAAAGTCAAAAAGTACATTTGTTTACGGATGGAGTCTGGATTTTCGGCCACACAAGCCTGTTGCACCCTTAAAACGACATCGTTTTGAAGGAAATTTCAATTTAAAAAAAGAAAAGAAAAAAAAAAAGCTAAACAGAAACCAGAAGAGGGGGGAAGTCTTTTGAGTTGCAGAGTCTTGAGGATTTGTCTCAAGGTCTCGAGATTTGGTGTTGCAGCAGCAGCGGCGACCAAGGTTAATGAACGACGGCATCGCCCCACAATCATATCTTACTACTCTTCTCACTTCACCCTAACCCTAGATACACAAATCTCCATGGACGAACTAAGGGAAGAACGGGGTAGAAATGGCGCCGGCGAAAGGCATAGATCCCGTTGCAACGTCTTTGAAGAGAGATGGTTTTCGATCTTCTCTCTTTGAATCACATTGAAGAGAGATGGTTTTCGATCTTCTCTTTTGAATCACATTGCATTCGAAGATCTCTCTAAAGGCCCGAATTTATTATTTTCACGAAAATTTCTTCTTTGAAACTGCTTTTGTATGTTGGTCTAAGAAAAAAATTTAGTTTATTGGATTTAGGATTTCGAAAATTTTAGAGTGTTGGACTGAAAATTTTGATGTTTTTGTGTTCTCAGAGTAGAACAAAGCAACTATTTTTTGGGTTTTGAAAATGTTGTCAAGGGCGGGCCATGCAATATATGTATATATATACATATTGCATAACAGAAATGCATGTTGGCTGCGGTTTTTTTTTAGTTGATTTATGTCGCTTAGTTGAATGATGATTATTTTAAATTTTGGCTGTGATTTTGAATCTAATAGATGAAGGGTTATTCCCGGGGCCGCAGCTATTGGATGCCCGCGGACGGTTCTTCCGAGTTGAATCCCTCTAAGTGAGAAGAGGACTGCCTCTATTTCGTTGAGAAGAAGTAGAGATTTCTATAATCGGAACTTCTCAAAATTTGGTTTCAACATTTCACAAATTTCATCATTTTTACAAATTACTTTGATTTTTTTGGGTTGTTGAATCGAACATTTCAACTGGAATCAACCCAAAACCATCATGGCCAATAAAGAACTGCAAATGCTGTGGATGAATTTCAATGGATGGAACTTGTTTGGTACCAGAACAGAAATCTTCCATGATCAAATTCAAGTAATCCTCTTTAATGGGTTGTTGCTCTACCTCCAAAACCAGACCTTCATCTTTATTACATTCCAACTCAAAGGACTTCCCCCCTCTTCTTCTCCCTTCCTCTCTCTCTTCTTCCCCTCCCCTCTGGTTTCTGTTCAGCTTTTTTTTTTTTTTTTTAAATTGAAATTTCCCCCAAGATGTCGTCGTTTTGGGGGTGCAGCAGGGAGGGCGGCAGGCTTGTGCGGCCGAGGATCCGGACTCTTATTTAAGACATCCCAAACCACCCCTTAACCTGTCAGCCAGTCCTATTGCACTCGCTAGTTTTACAGTCTTGCTAAAATTCATGAATTTTGATTTCGAAGCTTGACATTTCTTTATTTTTTTTTTTTTTTTAAATTGAAATTTCCCCCAAGATGTCGTCGTTTTGGGGGTGCAGCAGGGAGGGCGGCAGGCTTGTGCGGCCGAGGATCCGGACTCTTATTTAAGACATCCCAAACCATCCCTTAACCTGCTAGCCAGTCCTATTGCACTCGCTAGTTTTACAGTCTTGCTAAAATTCATGAATTTTGATTTCGAAGCTTGACATTTCTTTACTTGATTCAGATATACATATACACTGCTGAGTAGTGATTCTTCCACAATGTTAATTTGACTGCTTCTTTGTTTAGGGATCATTCTCCGTTCAGTGAACACTATCACTTGAATATTTGGTGAAATTGTTTATAGTTTAATGGGAGACTCCAATTTCAACCTACCATAATTGAATAAATTCTATTTTGTGGGGGTAATTCTTAATTCTGAAAGGAAAATGATTTGGAAATAATTTTCATACCGCGTTCGTTTGGCATGTCTCTTAGGGCTAAAATAACTATATAAAATAAAATAAGTTATTTTAGTTAAATAGAATAAAATGTTAAAATTTTTTATTTTCACACTTAATTATTTCCGTACACACTTAATGAAATATTATTTTAATAAAAATTATACTTTAAATTAAAATGACCATAATAAATATTTACTAGTATCCATAATATTATATGAAAATATTTTTTATACACATCTTTTAAAAATAAAATATATCTCAATGTCTACCTTTTGTTTCAATCTATGATGAAGGCGTGTTACCTCAAATCTATGCCGATCGTTCTCACCGCTTAAGTTTGCTTTTGTCTTTTGAAATTTAAGGTTTTGAGTTTTACTGCACTTTGGGCGTAATTAACATGACATTTTATGATTACTATGTTTAACTTTTAATGATGCAATGTAATATTATTGTTTTTTTTTTTTGTTTCAACAATATTTCTCATCTTCAACAATATTTTAGAGGGTTTTCAATAGTATTTTTAATAGACATTCAATAGAGTCTTCAATGGAGGACTTCGTCTTGACTTCACTTCACTTCACTTCACTTCACACTGTGGTTTTGAATGATCTTCACGTGGGTTTACAATGGGTTTACAAATCTGGAAGTATAGTCACTCAACAAGTGTATAGAAAGGAGAGTTGAGTGGTGTGTGTACAATTATTATGAGTGAATGATATAATTGTAACTTTAGTGTATGTGTTGAGAAAATTAATTAATAATCAAATTAATAAGTGTGTGTACTGAGAGAAGATGTGTACCGAGATAATTAAGTGTGTGAAAATAGAATTTTCCCAAAATATTACATCCAACCTATACTCATTCATATTTTTTTTTCTACAAAAGTCAAAAATCAAAAAGTCAATCCAAAAATAAAATCAAAAAATTTATCTAAAATAAATTTTTTTAACTCTAGACTATAATAACCAAAAAACAAAAAGCTCAACCAAAATGATGAGACCGTTTGTTTGTTTTTTTTTCTTTTTTTAAATGGGTGTTGGAACAATTATATTTGTATATTACCTACCCATGCCTAAAATATTATGGATATGTTGGCGTAGAGATGTTGACACTGAAACTCATCGGTTCTGTTTGGTGGAGTTTTCAAAATCTAGTTCCACACTTATTTTCTGTAGGACTACTTGGTGTTGACGCAAGAATCCGACATAGCCCGGCATCAACATAATGCCATGTACTAATTAATGGAGAAATCTACGATGTATATCTTTTAAAATGGTACCGTTCCAAAAAAAAAAATTTATTTTTAAAATGATATATATTGTAAAAAAATTATAATTTTTTATGATAAATGTTATAATTGTTTATAATGTGTGTTATAATATTTTGTAATAAATTATAAATAATAAATTTATGGTGTACACCTTAAAATTAGGGATGATAATATTATAGTACTTTGTGATTTTTGCTATAATTTTTTAGTGAAAAAAATTTGTGACTTTTGTAGTGAACAAATTATGATATTTTGTGGTTAAATTATGAAATTTTGTGAAAAAATTATGAAAATATCATATGCATTTTTTTAAGGTGCATATTATAAATCTCCCCTAATTCATGCACGATTGTCATGAAATTTTAAATTTAAGAACCCTTAATCTTTTTGACCAATTGTATATTTTTGTGCAAATTAAATACTATTCAATTTTGATGATTGCATAATGCAAAATGTGAAACTCTTAAAATATAACTTGACAGCTTACTTTAAAAATTGTTGACTCCCATAAGTATTAGAACTTTCTTTAGAAGTGACATTTTTACACCTTTAAATTTGACATATTTTAAAACAAACATTTCAACTAAAATATCAAATTTATTATCATTTTAATTTAATCTTTTTTATCCCTCCAAGAAAACTCTCTCAAAGTGAAACCCATTAATAAACAAACCATAAATAATGATTTGAAAGTTCACTAGTCGTGTGTCAAATTTGAAAGTGAGAAAAGCATGCTAAATGACAAATAAAATTATGACATTGTGCTAAAATATTGAACATCTTCAAATTTGATTATCGTAGAGCATTTTTAATGCTAATTTTTTTTTTTATTAAATTTGAGTAAAAATTTAAGCAAAAACTTCTTATGATATCGAGCATTTTAACAAATTTTTTTTATTTTTCATCAAATAACCGGTCGACTAGGAAGATGCCCAACTAGTTAATCGGTTAGTGTAAATTTACTTAAAGGTCTGAAACAAGAAAGAGATTGTTACTAAAGGTCTGAAACAAGAAAGAGGTTGTCCAGGAAGACAAGTGGCCGATGGTTTGGTGTATTGTGAAAAGCTTCACACATTCTCAATTTGATAAAAAAATTAAGAAATCCTTAATTTAATATTAACGCTAGAACAGTAAAAGAATAAACGTTAGGGACGCTGTTACTTGTACTAAATTTGACATCATCTTTGGAGATGATGTTAGATTGGTTAATGATCATTGAAGTTTAGGATCATGATTCCATCACCAGAGATATGGCCAATCCTACCATGCCATGTGCTTGCATATGATGTTGAAACGTCTCTAATAATCCAACATGTAGAAGGCAAAAGGGTTAGTCTAGCTGGTCAATTGGTTTGTTCAGTTCAAGTTTATTCTTGTTGCTTCTTTTGGTTTGCTCGAATCATACAATTAAGGGATCTTGTTTAATTTTCAAATTCACATTCCTGAGGACCATAGGTCATGGTTCCCACTTATGGAAAAAGATTCTAATTTTAAGTCATGAATGTTTTGCGATTAATTTTTAGTTTAAAAATAAGTTTCAAAAAACAAGAAGGGTCATCTCTACGAATCTATCATTTTTTTAAAATATAATTTTAATCGCTATTTAAAAAGAACAAAAGAGAGGTCCAATTTGTCATGTTTCATCAGCTAATGAATTTTTGCTTCCTCCTAACTGTACAGCAAAAATTACACATGATGACCTTCTTCTTCTCTGTTTACATGTCTTTTTTTGAGTCCTTACTTCTAAAGAAAGCAAACTGAAACACCAAACCTAACTCCAACCCTTCAGGAAATCTTTTTGGCTCTTTACCACATTCTTTGTCTTCAAAATCTGGTGCAGTCCTCCTGCCAAAAGTGAAAGGAATAAAAAGAAGAAAAAAAAAAGGAAACAATTAGAATTGACTATTTATTGTATTCAAAATTTGTATAACAATGCATTGATGACCATAAACTCTATTTTAATCTATTTCAATTTTGAATTTTTTTAAAAAAAACTAAACAAAAACATTGAATCAAGTAGCTTTTTTGTTTTTTGTTGATGTTTTTACTTTTTACCTATTTTATCTCTGCAAATCTCTTCATGTTTTACACTAACACGTTGTATATTAAATTCCATCCAAAATTGAAATTTATATATATATATATATTTGTTACTCTTTGGTAGTTTTGCAAAATAATACTAGCAAGTCTCAATTCCAGAACCAGCAACAAATATAAAAGATTCAAAATGGAAGGAAATAATTTTAGGCTTTAAATTCAATGAATCAAGAAAATCAAAATTGTTTGGTAAGCAAGAGATTTCGGCCTTATTTGATTTGTTTTTCAAAAAAATTCTTTACAAACAAATTTTTAAGAGTAATTAAATCAAACAAATTTTTTTAAAAAAAATCTTAAAATTTTGTTTGATTACCTACTTTTCAAAATCTCTATCTCATATCAGAATTGACTATTTATTGTATTCAAAATTTGTATAACAATGCATTGATGACCATAAACTCTATTTTAATCTATTTCAATTTTGAATTTTTTTAAAAAAAACTAAACAAAAACATTGAATCAAGTAGCTTTTTTGTTTTTTGTTGATGTTTTTACTTTTTACCTATTTTATCTCTGCAAATCTCTTCATGTTTTACACTAACACGTTGTATATTAAATTCCATCCAAAATTGAAATTTATATATATATATATATATATTTGTTACTCTTTGGTAGTTTTGCAAAATAATAGCAAGTCTCAATTCCAGAACCAGGAACAAATATAAAAGATTCAAAATGGAAGGAAATAATTTTAGGCTTTAAATTCAATGGATCAAGAAAATCAAAATTGTTTGGTAAGCAAGAGATTTCGGCCTTGTTTGATTTGTTTTTCAAAAAAATTCTATACAAACAAATTTTTAAGAGTAATCAAATCAAACAAATTTTTTAAAAAAAAATCTTAAAATTTTGTTTGATTACCTACTTTTCAAAATCTCCCTCTCATATCAAATCAATCATTTTTTTTTAAAACTCTCTCCTCAAAATAATTTTCCAAAATTATTTCCGAAAAAAGACAAACCAAACAAATTTTCAAACATTTTATCTCAAAAAATACTCTACAAACACAAACCAAACACAACCTTCAATTCCCCCAAAAGAATCAAAGTTTGAATTCAACAAATCAACACAAATCATGTATATCATACAAGCAAACAAACCAAAAAATAGAGGAAAATGAAGAGGACGAACCTCAAATGGTTCAGTGTACGGTCTTGCCGCTGAGAGGCGAAGCAGGCAAGATCGGCCTCGAGAAAAGCACGACATCGACATGCGAAGAAGCCAGCTGGTGATGATGATGATTACCAGAAATCTTATCTTTGGCACTCAAACCCTCACCGATATCCTCACCAATGTGCAAATCTTCCTCTCTGATCCTCAGAATTTGGCTGTGCACATGAAAAACCTTCTTCGGCGTCCATTGCCCAAGCTTCGACACCGATCTCGGCGACTCTATCTCCTCCGACGATCCAATACTCTCTTGATCCGTCTCCACCTCCGCATCAAACACCTTCGACATTCCACATGATCTCCGATCAACCTTCCGATCCGACAATTTCTTCCTCTCTTCGTTAATCATCATCGACAAGAACTCCTTTGATTTCTGTAGATCAGAACCTATTGATTCGTTCACAGGCTTTTTCACAGTCATTTCGATTCGAGTCGAATCGATTCGAATGCTTGAAGATCTTGAAGAAGGAACAAACAAGAACAATTTTGGCGGCAAAAAGGCACAGGTTAGCGGCGCAATGCAGCAATCAGGAATTTGGAATACACAACACGCACGGGGCAAGGTGGTGTATATATAGGGGGGAAGAGTGTGTTACGGTGTGAGTGAGTTGATAGAGATGCAGGCGGAGAGTCTTTCGGTGTGAGTGATGAGGTGTTCAACATTTATTTGACTTTGGTTGTGACCCGGCTTTGAGATTTCGACACGTGTCTTGTGGGTGAGAATCACGTTCACGCTATTTCACCGATACACATTACATGTGGTTGATTTGATCCACGGATGTGAAGACCAGTCCAAACCGCTAGCGTTGTGATTGGAACAACTTTCGGATCCTGCATTTTTTTGCCACGTCACTCCTCTCTCTTCCCTCCACCAAGAGATTAGCAATAAGGTGTCTCCGTTTGGGAGGTGGGTTAATTTTTTGACTTTTTAATTATTTTAATTTGCTTGGTTAAGGAAGATTTTTTTGATTTTTTTTGTGAGAGAGAAGTGTAATGATTATGAGTTAGATTTGATGTTTTATTTTTTGTGACTAAAATATCCTATTTTATTTTTTGTGACTATTTTAACCCCTAACTTACCAAAACTAACTTCACAAACTATGCCTTAGTATATCACATTTATTTATTTATTATATTATATATTAATCCTATGCCTTAGTATATCACATTTATTTATTTATTATATTATATGTTAATATTACATTAATATGATAAGTATTATCACTTATGTTTGATTTTAATCATATAATATTAAGAGAAAATATCAAATCGATGAAAATTTGAAAAAATAATTACAAATCAATGAAAATTTTTACAAATATTAATAATTAAAATTGTAAAATTTTTCATGAATGCATAATTTTTTTATTGACATACGCTACGGAGCAATTACTCCTAATATTAATAATATATATAAAATAATAAACAAAATATGATTCATCTATCTATTTATTCAAATTATAATAATAAATGTTCAATTTGTAAACTAGGGTTCTTGAGATTGACACTAAAATGAGTTACTCATCTCACTCACAGTTTACAAATTTAAATGAAAAACACTTATAGAGTAAATTATATTTTTTTCTTATCAATTTTTATTTAAAATTTACTTTGGTTTTCACACTTTTAACAATTTAATTTTTAAATTTCAACTTTTGTTTCAATATGTTTATTCTGTTCAAAATTTTAAAAAGTATAATTTAAGTACAAATTTAAAAATAAAAATATATATTGTCCAATTTTTAAGTTGTAGTGTATACGATTTTATTTTATTTATGGCAATTCGAGTGTCCACGTACCTAGAACATAAATAAAATGTGACCATGATATTAGGCCACGTACTTATTATGTCCAATTAATTAAATTAACTAAACTGGGGAACAGGTGGCGTGATGTTGGGGATTGGCGTTGGGCATTCCTTATCGGATTCGCTTCAATTTCAAATATTATGGTAAAATCATCACATGAGATTTGATTACATTTCAATTTATTTGTGATTAATGATATATAGAAAATGGGAGTGGGATGTTAAAGTTTATAATAAATTAAAAATTAATATATAACTTAGCATGTTGTTTTAAATAAAATTATCTTTTTTGTTAAAATATTATTCTATAATAATACTCTTGTAAATGAGCTCATGTTTGTCATATGATAATTGTGATTAAAAGTTGGCTTTTTAATTTTTTTTTTTAAACTTTTTTTGAAAAAAATGTAAAAAAGGTCAAGAGGGAATATGACCTAAAATAAAGAAAAATGAGTTAGACCCCCTTTTGTGGAGGACCCCCACGACCCCCTCACTGATCTATACCACTCATGATGTGTGGGGTCCACTCATTTATATGTGGGGTCCACATCATGAATGGTGTAGATCACAAAGGGGTTGTGGGGGTCCTCCACAAAGGGGTTCCCTATCATTGCTGATCAATTAAAAGTCAAAAATTAGTTTTTAATCATATTCTCAAATTGACCCTAATACTTGTACACAAAAAAGTTCAGCAGTATAAATATTTGTATCTTTCCTTTGCACCTAAAAAAAAAAAAAAACTTGTACACAAATTCAATAACTCTCAGGCTTTTGGTGTTGAAGTTTTTTTTGAAGTTGAATTATTTATTTGCCATAGTTATGGATAAGTTTTTAAAGGAATTAAAGTCATCATCTTGTACAAGTAATACAGTTATTGGTTTGTATACTTCTGAGTTTGTTGATTGAGTGTGCATATATTAAAAAATAAATAAATATTTTGATATGATGAACCATCTTAAAATTATAAAGAAGTAGGTTAATAATTAAGTTTTCAGTTTTATTGTTTTACTTCTTTCCAAATATTGAATGGAAAATGTTGTGTATTGACAAAAATTCTGACTCCACTTCTGCTTAAAGTATTTTTAATGGAAAATATTATAATAGTATTGTCATTATTATAATTTGGTAATGAATAGTAAAAAATTATAAAATTATAACAATGGTGTTTCAATGGTCAGATTGTATTTTGGCAAAATCAAACATAGAAATTAGTGTGTGCGGAACGACCAGCCGGACATCCCAAATATTTCAATTTCTGTGTTTGATTTTGTAAAAATGGTGATTTTGCAAAAAATTATCTATTTTGCTAAAAGGGGGGAGGGAAGGAGGTTTTGCTTGATTTAACATATATGACAACTGCAAAATCTTGTGTGTTTGTCAAATTTGGCAAGTGCTATATGGCACCATTGGAGCACCATTTTCTTCTCCAACTACCAAATTATAACAATAATAGTTCTAATAACAAATCATTAAAAATGTTCTTTTGCGACTAACTCAGAATACACGAAAATATGTACATAACATACCAAATGAAAGAAAAATGCAACAGACCCCAGCCCCACATAGTTGTGGGTGATTGGAAGGAAAGAAAAAGAAAAAAAAAATTAAATTGGCCAATGATAAAAAACTGGGGGTGCGCCTCACTGGGTGCCTAGCACCGTTGCCAAATGAAATGGAAAGAAAAAATATGATTCCATGATCATAGAATTATATAACAAGAGAAACATACATTAACAATCAAATGAAACATATATGATCACTAAAATTTCTACACCAATGGATAATACTCTTATGTGGGCACTTGTAATTTTTTTTTTTTTAGAAATTAATTACTATCACGTTTTATTGACCATATTTATTTCCTTACAAGTTTCAGTGATTATTTTATTATTTTAATTGTTTACGTAGTTGCCTTTTATTTTGATAATGATTTTTTTTAAGACTTTATATAATTATGTATTTATGAAATGACCATTTTGGTATCGTTGGTAATGATACTGAGAAATTTATCAAAATAATAAATAATTAAGGCATTTTGGAGTTTGTTTGAATTTTAATTTATTTATCAGTGGTGCTACATGTACTAATTAGTGTATTAATTAGTATATCAATACTAGTTATAACATTATTATTGACCCCACTCATTAATCACATTACAAATACCAAAAATCTCTTAAATTATGCTACATCAAAAATTAGTACACTAGTTAATACATTAATTGGTGTATATAGCATTATTCTTTATTTATACTAGTTTTTATTGAAATATGATGTTAGAGGGATAAAGAATAATACTATATGAACTAATTAGTATATTAACTAGTGTATCAATTGATGATGTGACATAATTTAAGGAATTTTTAGTATTTATAATGTGATTAACGAGTGTGATCAATAATAATATTATAACTAGTGTTGGTATATTAGTTAGTGCACGTAAGTGTAAATAATTGAATTGTAGATGCTCCAAGAGAGAGGGGCTGTCGTTTGTAGGAATGGCAATGGGGCGGGGCGGGGCGGGGCGGGGCCGGGGATGACCCTCCCCAAACTTTCCCCGTCTCCGGCCTCGATCTCCGACGGGGAATCAACTATCGCCCCCACCTCCGCCCCCTAACGGGGATCGGGTTTCTCCGACCCCGATAAATCCCCGACAGACCTGTTCACAAACACACACACACAGACCTGTTCACAACTAAAACATAGATCTGTTCAACCAAAAAAAAATAATAATAATAATCTGCATATGTATATGGAATCAACAACAACAACATCATTTTCATCAAGAACATCATCAACGGCAACATCATAAAACAAAAAATAAAAAAATAATAAAAATAAAAATAGAGACAGACAGACAGACGGTGGCAGAGGGAGGAGGAGGCCAGAGGGAGGATCTGAGTGGCGGAGAGAGGATCTGCTCAAATCTGAGTGGTGGAGGGAGGATCTGTGCAGATCTGCCATGGCGGAGGGAGGAGGAGGCGAGAGGCGACGGTTCAGCGGTGGCCTAGAGGAGGAGGAAGCGACGGAGGAGGGGTCGGTGAGAGGCGACGGAGGAGGAGGAGGCGGTGAGCAGGAGCGACGATGCCATCGTCGACTGCGTGCGTAGAGAAGAAACAGAGTGAGAGACTGCCATCTGCGTGCGTAGAGAAGAAAGAAAGAGAGAGAGAGAGTCAGTGAGTGAGAGAGAGGCTGTGTGAGTGAATTGAGTTTGTTTTTTGGGTTTGGTTTATACATGGATATATAAAGGGTATGACAGTAATATCACTTCGGGGAAGATACGGGGACAGAGCCGGGGACGGGGCCGGGCCGGGCCGGGTCGGGGCTGTGAAGGTTATCCCCGTCCCCGGCCCGAAATACTTCGGGGATTTAATTTCAAATACCATCCCCGTCCCCACGGGGGTATTTTTCGGGAAAAAAATCATTCTGATCGGGGTTGGGGGGTCGGGTCCCCGTCGGGCCGGGTTCAAATTGCCATCCCTAGCCGTTTGTAGACACTCTGCTGCAGCAAAGTTGGTGTAATAAAAGAAGAGAGAGAAAGAGAGAGGAAGAATGAAAAAAAAAAGAGAGAAAAAAATTGTATACAATACATTTATACATCACTTAACATACATTTTAACATATTTACTATGCTACCACTCACTTTGTAAAATTAATAAATTTTTAACATACATTTTGAATCTTACTGTTATCATTTTTGGGCTATTTTGGGAAGACAAAAAGAGTAATGTTAGAAATTTCAAATATTCTACCAAAAGTTTTACC